GGTGTATGCCAGGGATGCATCCTGTTTCCATAGTTTTTCAATATATATGTGGAACAGATCATTTGGGAGACTGAGCTCTCAGGAGGGACCAGTCTTTGGAGAAGGACATCATACTTGGAAGGGTGGAGGGACAGTGCAGAAAAGAAAGACTTCAGGTGGGATGGACTGACAAAGTAACTGGAGTAATTGGGGCAGGAGTATCAGGGATAGTGAGATTGGCTCAGAATAGGACAAGGTTCAGAGCTATTGTCCTTAGGGTTGCCATGAGTCACAGTCTATGATATGAGGGCATATAACAGCAACAACAAGGGAAGTTTTCAAAGCCCCCTCCCTTTCCTCTCTGTTTAGGCTGGGAGAAGGTGGATAAACTGTCATGAGCGGTGTCAGGACTTTTCCTTAAGCAACGTTTCTTGAAGAAGCCTTATGTGAATCTTCCAGGCAACCACTGACAAGTTTTCACTTGAGCAAGGTGTTTCCAAAAAGGTGTAACTCCTCCTTACCAGGCTCCTTCTCACCAAATATTTGGACGATTATCATGCTGCCTCCAATCAGTATTATATAACTTGAGTTCTTTATTCTAACTCTAAGTATTTGTCTGCTACTTCGCCATTTTGAGGGGCTCTGGTGGCCTAGAGTTTCATTCTGTAGAATCTATGTCATTCCACATTTGAGCAGTCTTTTACTTTTCAATGAAAGTGTCTCTTAGATCATACCAAGTATTTTTATTATAGGAGAAAAAATCCCCAGTAACCACTCTAATTACTGAAAATCAAGAAAAGGTATGCTGTAGAAAATGAAAAAAGATAGAGTGAGAGTAGAGTAGGGGAATCAGACCACCAGCAGAGCCAGTTAAGCCCAACACTCCTCCACAGGTTACATTTTACAGAAAGATTTATATAAAGTTACACTATTGAAGTTCTATACACATTAAGATGACAAAGGAAAAAAGGATGTCTATACATTTCATTTACTGACTTCTTGGGTCAAAGACCCTTTGATAGAGTGGCAGTTTCATGTTTTCATGTTATCAGAAACCAGGATATTCGCATGACACAGAAAGAGAAAATGCACAATAGGTGTTACAAAAGGGGATAAAGAATCAGAAGAGGCAACTAGTAATAACTATAACTATAACTATAACTATAACTATAACTATAACTATAACTATAACTATAACTATAACTATACTATAACTAACTATACCTATAACTATACCTATAACTATAACTATAACTATAACTATAACTATAACTATAACTATAACTATAACTATAACTATAACTATAACTACACTATAACTATAACACTATAACTACAACTATAACTATAGCTATAAAATTATAACTATAACTATAACAATTATAATTATAACTATAAACTATAACTATAACAACTATAACTATAGTTCAAACCTTGAATTGCTATAATCAAGGATGCTTTCAGCAGAATATTAAATGATCCAGGAAGTATTAAAAGAAGATGGAAAGAATATACTGAGTCACTGTTTCCAAAGGAATTGGCAGACACAGAAGAATTTCATGAAACAACATATGAGCAAGAGCCTATGGTGATGAAGGAAGAAGTTCAGGCTGCTTTGAAGGAAAGAGCAAAAAATAAGGCCCCAGGAATAGGTGATATACCAATTGACATATTAACAGATGCTGCCCTGGATGTGCTCACCAAGTTGTGCCAAGAAATCTGGAGAATCACCGCCTGGCCAACTGACTGGAAGAGATCTATATTTGTTCCCATCCCAAAGAAGGGTGACCCAACAGAGTGTAGAAACTATAGAACAATATAATTGATTTCACATGCAAGCAAGATTCTACTGAAGATTATCCAAAAACGACTGGAACAGCACATCAACAGAGAACTACCAGAAGTCCAGGCTAGGTTTAGAAGGGGTTGTGGTACTAGGGATATTGTAGCTAATGTTAGATGGATCTTGGCTGAAAGCAGGGAATACCAGAGGAATGTATATCTGTGTTTCATTGACTATGCAAAGGCGTTTGACTGTGTGGATCATAACAAACTATGGCTGAGTCTGAGAAGAATGGGAATCCCAGAACACTTGATCGTGCTAATGAGAAACCTATACTTGGACGAAGAGGCAGTTGTCAGAACAGAGCAAGGGAACACTGCATGGTTCAAAATTGGGAAGGATGTATGCCAAGAATGTGTCCTGTCTCCATACCTTTTCAACCTGTATGCAGAACATATTATCCGGGAGGCTGAGCTCTATGAGGAGAAATGTGGGGTTAAGATTGGTGGAAGATCTATCAACAATCTGCGTTATGCAGATGACACAATCCTGCTTGCTGAAACTGAGGAGGACCTGAAGCGCTTGCTGCAGAGGGTCAAGGACTGCAGCCTTCAATATGGCTTGAGGCTCAATGTCAAGAAGACAAAGATTCTCACTACTGGACCAATTGGCAGCATCAGGATGGATGGTGAAGAGATTGAGATTGTTCACAGCTTTAGTTTGTTTGGCTCCACAGTCAGCACTCTTGGCACCAGCAGCCAGGAAATTAAAAGACATATTGCGATGGCAAAGTCTGCTGTTAGGGACCTCTCTAAAGTACTGAAGAGCAATGGTGTCTCTCTGGAGACTAAGGTGCATCTGATACAGGCCAGAAGAATTCTAGGGCAAAACAACCAGTTTTGCAAGCTAGAGGCAACTGATGTTAGTTTTACATCTATACTATGTATTTGAATAATCTTGAATTTATTAATTCCGCTCTACCACAGGCTTCTCTGAACTTGTTATAGGCCATATGATTTCCAATTGAGCTTCATATTCAACAGCTATCAGGCAGCCTGCATGATTGTGTTTTACACTAAAACACTTCTATCTAGAATATACAAAAGACTCTTAAAAATCTGTATGAGAAAACACATTTGGGTTGATAGAGTGAGAACTCCTAAAAATTTGCTCTTCAGTATAAATAATGATGACACTGACAAAAATTGTCTCATCAACTTTCCCTGAAATAAGGACATTAATCAAAGGCTTTCAATACTATGTATGAGAAGGGTTTATTCAAATAAATGATTGGATTTTGGTCACAAAATCAAGTTTTATGTTTTAACTTGCTATGTTTCCATCTTCTACTTTCTAGCTCTGTGGTTGCCTTGAGAACCAGTTGCCTCATGACTACCAAACAAATCCTATCCTTTGTGAGCTCTGGTGGTTCAGTGGCAAGAAGCTGCACTGCAGTCCCAGAGGTGAGCCGTTCGAATCCACCAGATGCTTTGCTGAAGAAGGAAGGACAATTTCTTCCTGTACCAGTCAGATCCAATTTGACAGTACACACACACACACACACACACAGACTTTCTAAAAAAAAAACCAACCCACCTATCCTTGTCGAGTTGGATTCAATGACTCCATGTCATTCTTCAGGACTAAAGCACTGGCCTTCGACTTTCCCAGGCTGTATAATCTTTGTAGAAGCAAACTGTCACATCCTTCTGTTAAGGAGCAATTGATAGGTTCAAGCTGCCCAGCTTCTGGTTAGCAGCTAAATGCGTAACCATTGTGCAACCAAGTTTCCTTTCTTATAACTACAGTAACTGTGAAAATCAGCAGCCACTGGAGGGTCCCAGATAGCTTCATCCTTAGTGAACTGTCATTATTCCATCTGACAGCTCCTGGATACCCCTACTGTCAGAATTCATTTTCCGTTGATCTGATTTAAAGTGTATTCATTGCAAAACAACCTTTCTCGTAGAAAACAACCTTCCTCATAACCTTTGTCTAAAACAGGCAGTTAACAATTGTTTAACATCACAGCTGCCCAAGGCTGGGATAGTAGTTTGGAGAAACAAAAAGCTGACCACAAAGTTTTTACGGAAAAGCTGAGTAATGAAGTTTCCCTAAGGAGCTTTGAACGCTTTTCCTATGCTGTCAGAACTTGAGAAGGCATGCATGCTCCAGAAAGACCCCAGAAGACCCTGGGATATTACCTCCAACTGACCTTGCTGTTCTGCACAGACAGGAAGTATAAGCTAAAGCAGAGGTGTAGACTTCAAGACTATTGAAAGCTTCCCTCAATACGCACACAGTCCCTCAGCAAAGGCCGGGAGACTTATCTGTTCAAGACATTTAAGAAAACAACTGTCCAATTACTAGGAAACGACTAATCGGACAGAACAGAGGCTCAGAGACCACAGGCAAACAATGCATATTGCTTGGAACATACGCAGAAAAATCACTAAACATGCAACAGCAGCAACAGCAAATATCCTTGGTGGTGGTGGTTGTTGTTGAGACCATGGAGTCAGAACCAACTCATAGCTGACCCTCTGGCGGGTTTGCAGAGGCCGTCAATCACAGGGGAGGAGACTGCCATCCTTCTCCTGCAGAGCAGGTGGTGCATTCAAACCATGTGCCTTTGGGTTGGCAGCGCACCTCCTTCTCACTAGGCCAAAATCTGATATATGGAATCGACACATTTTTTTGTTGTTTGTAGCCATGCCGTAGGCTCTGATTCGTGTTGGCCATGTTAGCTAGAGACTAAGGCTGACCCTCCTCCCCTAACCTGCTGTGGAAGCGGGGCTGGGGTTCAAATGCCAGGACTCAGGCTGGTAGTGAGCAAAAGCAGAGAAATGAACCCCCTTGAGTCTGGCTGCGTAATTGCAGGATACACCAACAATTCTGCGAAATTGAGGCAGGAAGTGAAAGTAGGTCTTGGGTGGAGGGAAAAGAACAAACCGTACGGTGGCCCTTCTCTGCAGTCCTCCTTCCCCAAAATGATAAAAGTGAGTGAAAAGGCACGCCCTGGAGGAGGAGGCAAAGTCAGCCCCACACAGTTTCCAGAAACATGTGCAATCTGCCTACGCTCCAACTTAAATACAAACTCATTAATATTTGCTATATAAAGTCAGAGAAGTGGCATCTCCTAGATTATAGACTCCTGGGCTTCCAGACATAAAGACCAGGACCTTAGTCACTGGTAGAGACACCTGATTGGTGATCAATCCTGTGATTAACTCTCCAGGTTCCAGTTTTCCCAACTCGGGTTACTTGCTGTGCTGCCTCAAGAACCCAGGAATCAACGCTCCGGACTTTCCACACACAGGTAATTAATCTGGGAGGTAGATGAGAGCAGAGGGGCAGGGAAAGATGCTGGCAAAAACAGGGAGAAGGGGTCTGAACCAAATGGGAAGAAATATAGGGGGGAGGATTGGAGGTTTAATTACCAAGTGGAGATTTGGGACTAACCATTCCACTGGATTCTAGACTGAGTTCTAGCAGCCTCAACTCTCAGCTCCACATTAAGACACAAACTCAGTCCCTTTTTTGGACCAATCTCAGTTTCATGCTCAGCTCACATCTAGCTGCAGCTACAAATCTCAGTGCCTTCCCTGACCCAGCTTGATCATTTAGCCACCACCTCAGCTTCCGTGCAGTTGAAAGTTGAGCTTTCACTTAGGCCCAGTTCTACTGACAGCCCAACCCAAGTACTGACCCCAAGCCTGGTACGAGATACAGCATTCATTTTGATCTCTAAAACCAGACCCAATTGTAGCAACAAGTTTAGCTGTAATTTTGTCTTCAACTTCTATTCTAAACTCAACCCAACTCCAACCCAAACCCCAGTTCAGACCACACTCCCCAGCTCAGTTGCAAACTTGAGCACATTCCCATTTCTAGTTGTAGCCCTCGGATTATTTGAACCTGAACCTCGGTTCCAGCAGCAGCCCCAGCCTCCTCCTTGGCCTCGCACCTGCTCCAGCCTTGACATTGTCCTGCCTTCATTTCAGCGCTGCAGGCTCCAAGCATGCTGATGCAGTATGAAAACCTGCAGCACCCGGACAGTGAGAAGAGCAGCCAGAAGTTTAGCAGTGGTAAGAGGAATGGGACCCCCGGAGAAGCATTCTTTCCTAAAACACCCCCTTGATACGTCCTGGATGGATTCTGCTGACAGATCAGGTTTCCTCTTGAGCATCTTTACCATGGAAACTAGTGGGGTCCTTGCTTTCAAGGTCCAGCATCTGGTGGTCCCCATCTAAAGAGGGTCTGAGATTCTCACAGTGACAGGAACCAGAAAGATTACAGTTGGCATGCCTTTCTGGACTCTGTGAGGAGTAGAAAAGAGGTTAGAGTACGATTTTTGTTGTTTGTCATGTACGACCAAGTTGAGTCAGAATCAGAGGCAATAAATCACACGGGAGGAGATTGCTCATCTTTCTCCTACAGAGCGACTGGTGAATTCTACCAATGTGCCTTCCAGGTGACGGCACAGCTCCTTACCACTGGACCACCAGAGCTCTGTAGGGTAGGGTTTGATTTTGTTGTTATGTGCTGTCGAGTAGGAATGGACTCATAGCTGACCCCCCAGCAGGTTTTCTGAGCAGTAAGTCACATGGGAAGAGACTACCTAGCCTTCTCCTGCAGAACAGCTGGTGGAATTGAACCATATGCCTTTGGGGTTGCAGTGCAGTTTCTCACCAGTAGGGTAAAGGAAGATAAATAGTAGTTAGATGTGAAAGATAAGATTCTTTCAAATCTGATATTACAGATGAACATGAGCCTGATAAAGGTCTGCAATATGCTCAACTCTCTCTGTGTGCTCCTGCCAGCTCCCTGAGTTCTGGTGACAGGACCTTACACATCACCGTTATCCCCTGCCTGTGTGCACAGATGCATGGAGTGGCAGGAGATTATGTACTTGGGAATGTTGCTGGTTCACAATAGGGAAGGCCAAAGGGCCGGGATCCCCTACTAACCACCTTTTCTTCCCAGGCCTCCCCCAAGCTGATGTGTGTCCAACCTTCATTCCGAGACAGTTTTCCTCTAGCCCTCTTCTCCTGTCCCTGCTGTGTCCTGGATTCTCTTCCACTTGGCCCTCTCTCTCCCTGCAGGGCTGCATTCTCTCCAGTTCCTCCTGCAGCGTCTCTGTTCTGGACTCCACCTCCACCTGCTCTCCCTGGGCTTCAGCCTCATTCTGCTGGTCATCATCTGTGTGCTCGGATCCCAAAGTGAGGTCCAGAGGGGTGGGCAGGGATGGGGCAATAATGAGATGCAGTAGTGAAGTATTGATGGGGACAGCAATGGGGACCAAAGCTGAGGGCAAAGCATTAGACAAAGGGACCATACTAGGACAGTTATGTGGGTAACAATGAGGGTTACTGGTACAGCAGTGCAGTCGCCAGCCATCCTGGCCATGATGGGACCACTGTGTGATGCAGTGATGGAAACATTGATGGGGCCATGAATGAGCAGAGATGGGGGTTCTGATGAAGGCAGTGATGGATCCATGGGCTGATTGTAAAGCACTGTTGCTATGTTGTTGTGTGCTGTCGAGTTGGAACCAACTCACAGTTGACCCTCAAGTGGTCTGTCAGAGAGTCAAATGGGAGGAGCATGCCCATCTCCTGTGGAGCAACTGGTGGATTTGAACCACGTACATTTGGGTTGACAGCACAGCTCTTTAACACTAAGCTGCCAGAGTTCCCTATAAAGTACAAGGGTTAGACAATAAGACTTGAGTTCTGGTTCCAGCAATTTATTAGTTGAGCTATATAGAAAGATTAAGGTCTTTGGGTGGTGCAAATGACTTAGAGTTAAATACTTACCTAGAGGTGGGAATTTTGAAGCCACCCAGAGGCTCCAAGGAAAAAAAGGCTTAGGACCTGCTTCTGTAAAGAAATCTTATGGAGCAGTTCTGTTCTTCACACGGAGGTCACCATGAATCAAAATGTGGTGGCTATAGGTAGACAAATTACTGAACACCATGATGAAGCCCCCGTTTTTTTCATCTGCAATATGGGACAATAGTGCCTGTCCCATTGAGCCAGCTAATTAATACATGTGAAGTGCTCTGGCCAGTGCCTGGCACAGGGCGAGGATGCCATCACTCTTGGTTCTGATCGGCTCATCCTCCTAATTAGGTTCTAGGCTTCAGTGGGACCTGTTGACCTTGAGGACAACTTTCCACAACTTCACCTTGACCAGTGATGCTGAGATGCAGGCTCTGAACACCCATGGTGAGCCCAGGGGTGGGAGTGAGCTGTCTGGGACGGGGGTAGATGAGAGTGGAAGCCTGGCCACTGAGCTCCCCCCACCCCATGCCCCAGGTGGTCACTTGCAAGAAATGATAACATCTCTGCGTGCTGAGGTGGAAGGTCATAAGCAAGAGCTGCAAGCAGGTAAGAGAGCCTCTGAGAGGGGCCTGGGGTCAGGCAAAGTGGCATGTGGCAAGCCGGGTGCTGAGCTACCCTCTCCTTAAGCCCGCAGCTTGGAAAACAAGGTGCTTACTCTGGAGAAAAACCTGGATGAACAAGTGCAGAAACTCCAGTCAGGTCAGAGGCCACTGTTCCTTGGGGAGGTGTGTGGGAGGACATAATGGCTCCTGGTCTCCAGGCGTCAGCGGCAGCCACACTCAGGGCCCTGCCCCCACTGCCCATCTGTCTGTGTTCCAGGCCATTCCAATCTGCTCCTGAAAGTCCAGCAGCTGGAAAAGGGCTTGAGATCCCTGGTTTGCCAGATGGCAGCTCTCAAGAACAATGGTGAGGAGTGTGTGTGTGTGTGTGTGTGTGTGTGTGTGTGTGTTCACACCTCGGTCCAAATTTCTTCCCACCATTTTCTGGGCATCATCTCAGCCTCATTTCCCTTCTTACCACCTCAGGCTCTCAGACCACCTGCTGTCCCCCAAACTGGGAAGAATTTAAAGGTAACTGCTACTGGTTCTCTAATTCTAAGAAGCCCTGGTCTGAGGCAGAGGAATACTGCCAGATGAATGGTGCCCACCTGGTTGTCATCACTTCCAGCGAAGAGCAGGTGAGGGCTTCTGGGACCCATGTCCCCTTGGGGCCTAGATCTAGGGAAGTGGTTCTTAAGCTCGAATGCACATCAGTTTTACATAGGAAGCTTTAAAGTCTGCTGACGTGGCTTCCTCAGAGACTTTACTGGTCTGGGTATTTGCTGGCCTAACGGATTTCATGCATAGTTAAAGTTTAGAATGACTCATCAAGGAGTTGAGAAAAATCATGAAAGCATGCTGTCCCCCTCCTCCAGAATTTTGTCCAGGAAAAAATGGGCAACTCAGAACACTGGATGGGCCTCCATGACCTTGATGGAGTTTGGAAATGGGTGGATGGGACAGACTACGAAACCGGCTTCAAGTGAGTGTGTCCCCCATCCCTTGTGCTCCTCATGGTGTTGACCCCGGCTGCTCCTTCCCAGACCTGAATTCTGCACCATCTGACCTTCCCAACTCTGTGTGGTTCTCCTCCCTCAGGCACTGGGCGCCAGACCAGCCAGATGACTGGTACGGACATGGTCAGGGTGGAGGTGAGGATTGTGCCCACTTCACATACAACGGCAAATGGAATGACAACGTCTGCAAGACACCCTACAAATGGATCTGTCAGGCCAGATAGCACACTACCAGCTGGGAGGAAGGCCAGCCAGGACGCGGCTGCCTGGGAGGAAGGCCAGCCAGGAGGCCACTGGGGAGGAACACCGAGACCTGTTGGTCTAGAGAAATTCTAGAGAAATGGTGAGGGGCGATTCCTTCCCCGAAATTATTCCCCCAAGGAAGAGGAATAAACTCTGAGGAATCAGAAACTCTGCCACTGGTGTTCCCTTTCCCACTCCCTAACTTTAGAAGGACAAAAGTGGTGTTCACGAGATCTTATTTTTCACCTTTAAAAATCAACTTTATTGGGGTGTCATTTTCACACAGTAAACTCCATCTATTTAAAGTGTAGAGATGAGTGTCATTTTCTTCTATTGTAGGAAAAGATATGTAACAAAGTATACAACAATTCAATAATGTCTACATTTGTGGTTCAGTGATGTTGATTACAGTCTCATGTTGTGTTCTATGGAGAGAGAGCGCTCAAGGGAGAGCTCGGTTCAGTGCATCCCTCCCTGAAGTTCTTCTCAGAGCCACACCTCTCAGATCTCTGAGACTGTAAATCTCTACTAGAGAAGACTGCCTATCTTTCTCTCTCAGAACCTCTGGTGGATTTGAACCTTTGAGCCACTGGAAGTGCACAAACTTTGAGTGAGCAGTGTAACTCATTACAGACTATGCCAGCAGAGAGAGGTGAGAGGAGGAGAGCAAGATTGATTGATTGATTGATTGATTGATTGATTGATTTCAATGAAATGGCTCACCTGCTTTTAGAGGCAAATCAAATCTCGAGATAAAAACATTGGGGAGGCAGGGTCCAGCTGTCAGCAGGTAGGCATGGCCTCATGATGCTGACGCTGGAAGCTATCCTGTGATCCTGTGGTCACTTTATCAAAATGAAAGAGAGAGGGAGGGAAAGAGAGAGAGGGAGAGAGGGAGAGGGAGAGAGAGAGAGAGAGAGAGAGAGAATGCCCAAGTCATTGTTGGGAGGCAGGGGTATAGTATAGATGGTGGGCTAGGATTACTTATGAGCCCAAAGTGAGCATGTACAGCAGCCCACTGACTGGAGATCACGTGCCAGGTGTGTTGCTGTGTGCTGTCAGGTTGACTGGCTCATTGTGAGCCTATGAACAACAGCTCTGAACCTTGCCCTCTCCTGCACCATCTTCACCATCTCCGACATACTCGCACACATTGTTATAGTCACTATGTCAATCCATCTTGTTGAGGGTCTTCCTATTTTATGCAGACCTTCTACCTTTCTCAGCATAATATTCTTCTCCAAAGACTGGCCCCTCCTGACCACATGCCCAAAGTACGTGAGATGAAGTTTCACTGTCTTTGCCTCTAAGGAGCCTCCTGGTTGTACTTCCTCTCAGTCAGACTTTGGGCAGTTCCTGGGCTATTCAGTCCTCTTCTCCAAAACCACAGCTCAAGGGCACGGATTCTTCTTCTGTACATCTGACAATATCTATCTAGCTATTTGCCAAAAGGTCCAAACAGAAATATCATGTAGGCCACACACCTAAGGAGACCTACCCTTAAACAGATAAGGATAATTGTCTTTTTAAAGGTCTGCTTGTAATCTAACCTATTAACATCATAAGGATTAGAATTCTTAACAAATAGTATTTACATTCTGCAGAGGCTCATGGTCTCGTTGATATTAATCAGGATAGGTCTCTACCATCCTTGTCAACGGGAGTGTTGACCTCTCCTTTCATACTTAATAATCACTCTGACTGTGATTAAGTGGTGGGCAGGGCAGAAATTGATGCTAGAGATAAAAAAGCCTCAGTTATTGCACCAGATATTACACCCTGCACTCTGGTAATGAGCAAATCATTCAAGAAGCTGGATTTTGTGAAGAAGACTGAGGTATCAGGATCAGGGGAAGACTTATTAACAACTTTCTTTGCATGTTATTTACTGAAAGTGAAGAAGACCTGAAGCACGGACTGAAGAAGATCAGAAACTACGACTTTCAGCACTGATTGCATTTCAACATCAAGAAAACAAAAATCTTCACAATGGGAGCAACTGGCACCATCAAGATCAATAGAAAAAAGAGTGAAGTTGTCCATTACTTCATTTTACTTAAATATCCTCGGTAGAAGCAGTCAAGAAATCAAAAGATGTGCTGCAATGGGCCTCTCCAAGGTTCTAAAGAGCAAGGGTGTCAGTAGAAAGACCAAGGTGTGCCTTATCCAAGCCCTGGTATTTCCAATTGCTTCTCATGCATCTGAAAGTTGGACAATGACCAAGGAAGACTGAAGAAGAATTGATGCCTTTGAGTTGTGATGTTGGCAAAGGGTATTGAATAAACCATGGACCTCCAAAAGAACAACCCTTTCTTGAAGGAAGTGCAACCAGACTACTCCTTAGAGCTAGGAGGTGAAACTTTGTCTCGTCTGCTTTGAACATGTTGTCAGGAAAAGGGCATCATGCTGTGCAAGGTGGAGGGTCAGAGAGAGATGAGCTTCAAGGAGATGAGCTGCTGCAGGGACTGTAACAATGGTCTTGAGCAGAACAGAGATTGTGAGGATGGTGCAGGATAGGGCAAGGTGCAGGTCTGTGTTCATAGGGTCATAGGAGTTGTAGTCTGCTTGATGGCATCCAACACAACAGCAACAACAACAATAACAATAAACCACTTGGATTTTCTACCTGCAAAAAAAGTACGTCTTTAAAAGGAAAAAAAAAGTGAAGCATATTGAAAACCTAACTGATTAGGAATTCTTCAAATCACACCTATCTTCCTAGTTTGACATGAAGGTATCGAGTTTTAGACAGGCTGGAACTCTTGGAGGGAAGTTAGATGAGCGTGTGCAGCTGGTAAGAGGCTCCATATATCAGGGATGTTGCTATTGAGAAAGTGGAGTAGGAACACTGACTTGGCACACCTGAGGGAGGCAGCAAGGTGCTAGCAGACAGAACCATCAAGAGCTATTTAGAAGCTACATTTCCTTAAATAAAGAGAGGAAAAGCAACCCTGAATCTTCTTCATCTGGTAAGAAGACTTTTCCCCCCCTTGCTGTGTACTGTTGAATCAGATCTGACTGACACAGGGGGAGGTTGCCCATCCTTTTCCAGCAGATCATCTGGTGGGTTTGAACTGCGTGCCTTCAGGATTGCAGCGCAGCCTCTTGACACTAGTCCACCAGAGTTCCTGTACAAGAATACATTTTAAAGGAAGACAGCCCCTCAATTTTGAGAAATGTTTTATGCCAGCTTTGGAATTATGCAAACAAAAAAAAAACACCAAAAAAACAAAACAAAAACCCCATCTCTCTGTGATTCAAAGTTATGTAAGAGCCTCTTCTGAAAAAGGACTTTGGTTCCAAAGATGTAAAAATGCTTCTGGGTGAGAATGTAAGCGTTTCCAAATTGTTTCTGGAGACAGTTTTAGGGGAGGGAGGGAGGGAGGAAGGAAGGAGATGGTGGAAGGGGTGGTATGATGCTGTTGGTTCTGGGAGACCCAGCTTCAGTTCTCAGCCCAGGGGCCTCACATGTAGACATCAGCCAGTGGTTGGGGGTGGTGTGTGTACGAGTATGGTGCTAAGAGTTCTCAGGAGAGCCTCGAGTCTTCTGAAAATCACCCAGTGAGACCCCACAGACCACAGCAGCCCAGCAGTTCTTTGTCCTGTTGTGGACGGGGCAACGTGAGTCTGGGCTGACTCCCCAGCACACTGCCAGAATCATAAGGGAAGGCCACATTTTCTTACTAATTCTGATACTTTTTAAAAAAACTAAAACCTTTTGGGTCTTCTCATTTTCCTTGTTGGAACTGCTAGAATCTTTGTCTTTGTTGTTAGGTGCCGTCGAGTCGAGTAGGACTCATGGGGACACTATCCTCTCCTGTGCCCTCCTCACACCCTCTGACATACCTGAGTCAGAGTTTGCTGCAGTCACTGTGTCTGCATCTGCCCTCTGGTTGAGGGTCTTCCTCTCTTTTGCTGAAGATTGACCTTTGCCCCCAAGGAGTACTCTGGCTGTACTTTCTCCAAGACATATTTGTTTGTTCTTTTGGTAGTTTGTGGGATATTTAGATCCTCTAGGCTTTGTCTGACATACTTTGGGCATGTTGCAAGGAGGAACGGTCCTTGGAGAGGGACATCATGCTTGGAAGGGTGGAGGGGTGGAGAAAGAGAGGGAGACCATCGATGAGATGGATTGATACAGTGACTGGTGTAATGACGATAGGTGTTTCAGAGACAGTAAAGTTGGCACAAGATAGAGCAGGTTTTAGGGCTGTTGTACATAGGGTCGCTATGAATTGCAAGTGATTCAATGGCACATAACTACAATGACAACAACAACAGAAAACATTAAGGAGCAGTGGTAATAGTAGGTATATTTTTTTTACTCTTTTCCATGAAACAGGCTTGGTTTTTTATTTCTCTTCAAAATATACTTGTCTTTTCCCACTCAGGTTAATAGTGTCTGGGGTCTTACAAGCTTGCAAGTAGCCACCAAAACTACAACTATTACACTTGGGGGAGGGATGGTATAACAGTGAAGGAATTTTTTTTTTTACTTTTCAAAGAGAAGAGTGAATTGGGGGTCAAGGGTGGGCAGAGAGAAAAAATGCAATAATGAATGAATGGAAATCCAAAGTCTCTGTAAGTGTTCATTAAAATGAATTTTAAAAAAGAACATCAGAAGGATGGTCTGGGTAGAAAATAAAAATAGGTTGAAGCAACTTTGCAGAATCTAAAGATATTAAAAAAAATACAACTACAAAACAACTATGAGATATCATCTCACCCCAGTAAGAATAGCAAA